CTATTGATTGGCGTCAGTTTTACTGCGCCCATAAAATGTGCACCGGGCGGCTGGCGTGGGCAGATTCCGCGATATTCCAATCCAACCCTATTACGAAACGGGTTCCCATGTTCAAACCACAATTTGACGATCTGAAGCAGCAAAGTGGCATTTCTCCGATTGTAACAGAATGGTAAGAATTGAGAGAAAAATTACTGCCTTCACTCAATTAACCATAGAAGAGTATATGATTACTACAAGAAGTACATGAACTTTCTGACCATGAGAGTTGGAACTTCAAAGAGGAGTACATCGAAATAGTAAATAAATATAAATATCTAGGCATAATTTTCACACCCAAATTTCCCTTAACCTTCATTTCAAAAGGAAAATCCAAACAGCTAAATTTGCTGTGAATTCGATATGGCAGAACTTCATATCGCACAATGACATCCCTGTCTACAGTAAATTCAAACTGTTTTTATTTCCTATGAAGGGTCCTAAATCTTCGAAATCACCGCCTACCTAAAATAACAGCAGCAGAGATTATTAGCCACAAAATATCACGGTTTTACGAAGAAGTTCATCCAGAACATTGAATTTACACGGGATAACGTCGAAGATTGGCCAATTTTGCCTAGTATAGGCCCATAAGTTATCAAGATTCCTATTGCATAGGGAACTTGCGCTTGATAGTAAATTATTTAATATGTCTGAGCGTGCCAGAATTTCCTTTGTCCCGTTTGTTGCTGGTTTTTTAAAATTAGATGTGGGTTGTTTCATCTCAACTATAATCCTACAAGAGAGAACTACCTCAGCCTGTGTTCCCTACGGAATAAAAAGGCCAGAGAATACACTTTCCATTTCTTAGCAGAATTCAGATTGAGACGTTTAGGTATGTCCTCATTAACAAGAGAATATACAATCGCTTCATTAAAACATTCTCAGTGTTTTTCAAATTACAACTTAATAGATTTTTTCCAATTAATTATTCTTTCTATGTAAGGTCTTGGTTGAGATAAAAAATTCAGTGTCACGAGCGAGATTCGAACCCACGACCTTCGACTAAATACGCCGCTGCTCGACCACTTGAGCTATCGTGACTTCAATCCTCTCAGACACCAACTCTCCATCTCAACCTACAACCGTTCGAATTTTCCCTTTTTTTGCCATTTTCAAATGTCGTGTAATCAGGATTGGATTCTCAGCGACTTATGAAGTGGCCACGGGGAGCAGTTTAGTGAAGTGATTCTTCTTTTACTTATTAATTAAACCATTTACGTTTTAGTGGTGAATTGACCAAGTTACTTCTTAAAATTAATTATTCTTTTACGTAAGGTCTTGGTTGAGATAAAAACGTCAAAGTCAAAAGTCAGTCAGATCGAGTGGATCGAAGTCACGATAGCTCAAGTGGTAGAGTAGGGTTAGTCGGTCGTGGGTTCGAATCCCGCTCGTGAGACTGACTTTTTCATTTCAACTAAGACCTTACATAGAAAGAATAATTAATTGAAAGAAGTTACTTCTTAAAATTAATTATTCTTTTACGTAAGGTCTTGGTTGTGATAAAAAAGTCAAAGCCAAAAGTCAGTCAGATCGAGTGGATCGAAGTTACGATAGCTCAAGTGGTAGGGTTAGTCGGTCGTGGGTTCGAATCCCGCTCGTGAGACTGACTTTTTCATTTCAACTAAGACCTTACATAGAAAGAATAATTAACTGAAAGAAGTAACTTTGTCAATTGACCACAAAAACGTAAATGGATTAGTAAATTTTGCTAAAGAAGGCTGGAGCTACAGGAAAGAATTGGCTTCATGTTTTAAATATTGAAGATGTTTTTATACCACTTAATATTATATTTTAAAGGTCTTTTTTCCCCTAGAAATTACCAACGAGATGCCGTGCTCAAATTGTTAACATATAGTGTAAATAAGTTTAATAATAATAAGTTTCATGTGCTTGTTTATTAAAAAATAATAATAATAATAATAAAATAAAAAACATTTTGCCCGTTTTTCCGGTAGACGGTTGTCAACCATAGCCGTATTGTGCTTTTATTTATTTGTATAACTTAATTTTTTTGTAATTAATTACATTGCATAAAGTACATTTTCATTTCATTTCACAAGAAGTATATACAATACGATACTTCAAAGAAAACAACCACTTTCATCATCCGACGAACATCATCTTACGCATCATACGCAAAAGATGTAAATTAAAGACCTTTGTAATATAACAAACATTGTTATAACAAATAAACAGCGATAAATGATCACACAATGTAATAATCATAAAGGTGATGAGATTCATGAAGATGAAATCATGATAACATTTATAGTCTGAATAATAAAGCAATTGTAGAAATACAAAGACAAAAAAACGAGGACTTTCAATTTCGTTGTAGAACGTCCCTCTGTATGTATGAAATTATGAATCATGAATCCTAAATGTATATTAAATTAGGTTATTATACATTTTTAGGTGACCTTTATCGATTTCCTCTTTTATTTTCACTGTTTGATATCAGAAACTTGGTACTTGAATTTCGGTTGGTCTCTCCACTCTGTTGAAGAATGTTCGTTTTTTCCGTCGACGTTTCGACCTTTATTCTGGTCATCTTCAGGGCATAAAGTATGGCGATATTCTTGTGGTGACATATTGGTGTTGTGAAATTACCTCATTCTTGACCGCTCCTCACAAATCCAACTAGATATTAAACAACCGGTTACTAAAAACAGCCAATAATTATAATAGTTGATTTTATTATAGCATGTGAAGTTTTCCTTTTAACCGATCTAAAAGCTGAATAAATGTTTCATAATTTATTTACATTAAGCAGAAAAAAAATCACCTCACGTATAGAAATAATGAGGTCTATGAAAAAGTTATGAATTATTACATAAATTAATAAAAAATTTCCGTCATTTTATTTTATTTTTGTATAAATTTTACCAACTTACAAAACGAAGATAGATTCAAGTGATGTTCTCTTGTTTTATGCTTGTAAAATTAATGATTTTACATATCTGATAATAAAAGTTTCCAAATGACCAAATGCACAAAGCGTGCCGTGTTAGCGAATTATGTTGATGCGAGCAAAACTATTATCAAATTGACTAATAATTGGTGTAAAATGCAGGTTGGATGAATCTGAAACGTGTACTACAAAATATTGTGGCTGGTTGTCAGACAAAACCGTTTTAAACTCGAAATGAACGACTATGTTTCCTACGGCTAACTCAATAAATCGCAGAAGAATGTAATAAACAAAGATATAAATAGTTTGCTCATATGAAAATACGTGAAAACAAGACGAAATTTGAAACGGCATTTTTTTTTTAATTTGAAAAAATGAAAACTAAAATTATAAATTAAAGGAAAATGGCTGTATTTATCTTGAAACGCACGTTTTATTTAGATTATTTAGGATTTAGGACTGAGGAAAGGTCAGTACAACAAATCATATTGTTCATATCTAAGTCAATATGAGCAATATGGTTTCTGACATAGGAGGCATTAACATTATAAAGAGGACTTTGTATTGAAAGAAATGAATACAATATTAGCTGGAGTTCTTTGCTATTCCGCAGAATTATTGTCCATAATTCCATATGTAGTTTTGTAATTCAATTACCGATATTTTAATTATAAATTAAGTAATTTTAATATCTTCTTTAAATATTCAGGATTGTATTAATCGAGATTAGGTCTAATAAAATTAGCTTCCAGTTAAGGAAGTCGAAAAATATTAAATATTATGGATTAATAAAAATGTAAAAAAATGGATTATTTTATTTTGCATTTACATTCTACTTTTTCGGAAGTGAAACCCTTTCCTTACTTTGCCTTTAAAAATTCAGATCAATTTGATTTATTAAGCAGTTAGTTTATATTAATGGTAAGATATTTTTTAGTCATCCCAGTCGATACTACCTTGCTGCCCTGTCCGAGTTAAATTGTGGGTAAATTTTAAAATGTTCTTAAAGAAACTTCAGAGATTACTAAAGGAACCGATTTTCATAAAATTAGTGATATTAGGTCGGAAAATGTTAGGACATGTATCCAAGCCAATCGGCCCTAGGAGCTGAGGGTAAATTAAGTAATTTAAATACTATTTATGAAAGGCATTGGTCCAGATAAAAAAGTCAGTGTCACGAGCGGGATTCGAACCCGCGATATTCGGCTAAATATGCCGCTGCTCTACCACCTCGACCTCCCTTTCGAATTTTCCTTTTTTTATCTCAACCAATACCTTATATAAAGATTAATTAATCAAAAGATGTTAAAGATGTTTCTGCTAAAGAATTAAATATTTAATCCGTTATATTTCATGGTCCGATTGACCAAATAACTTCTTTCAATTAATTTCAATTAATTAATTAATTAATTGAAAAATGGCAAAAAGGAGTGGAATATTCGAAAGGTAGGTTGAGATGGGAATTTGGTGTCCGAGTGGATCGAAGTCGCGATTGCTCAAAGGCTAGGGCAGCGGCGTACTTAGCCGAAGATCGTGGGTTCGAATCCCGCTCGTGACACTGACTTTTTCATTTCAACCAATAGCTTGCATAAAGATTAATTAATTGAAAGTAAATATTTAATCTTTAATGAGGTACAATTTGATTTCACTTTTTGTTATTTGTATTTTATATTTTTTGGGCTTTACTTTCACATTCTTTAATTTTTCCTTTTTTCACTTTTTGTATTGATCTTTTCTTTTGTTGCTTTATTTATGCTTTATTATATTTTTTCCTACTATCTTCGAATAAAGTTTCATCATCACTGAAATCGATGATCCCACGTTTCTCTTTTCTTTGCTGTTCCGTAAAATTATCGACCATAATTCCATATGTAGTTTTGTAATTCAATTATCGTCATTTTAATTATAAATGTAATTAATTTTTGAACATTTCCCTTTTCGACCTCCTTTTTTAAAAACCTGCTTATATCAAAGGGACACAAGTTGTTGAAATATAAAATGTCTATAAGCTTAATAATAAATGTTATGTTATTATTATTTGTTACAGGTCTATAATATTTGGGTGGATAGGATAGGGAACCCGATTTTGGAAGCCACGGAACCACAAATCGTCCACAAACGGTACCGAGTCTGTGATCGTCATTTCAGCGACTACTGTCGAATTCCAGGAAGTAAAAAGCTGAAAGTCGGCAGCCTGCCCACACTGCATCTGCCTAGTAAGGAAGTTTCAACTTATTTTAAAATAGTAAAAATCTATCCTACAATGAAAAATGATCTATCAAAACGCAAATGTTTTTGTTCAAATACAATCTTATTAATAGATCAAGGTTTAAGAATTTCATATATTTAATGGTTTGCAAGAGCGTACTAGATTCTATTTTAAAAGATGCGCCTCAAAGGATTTTTTTTATTTTATCAACCACGAAGTGTCCATCATTAGAATGACATTCGTGCATTCACTACTAACAAAACAATCTGGGTTAAAAATACAACTAAAATCTTTGTTCTCATCTTACGTATGTTAGGCACAATGTGGCAACCAAACAAGCGTGCAACTGCATCTTGTAAGATTGCCAATGTCACTTTGGCACCTGTCCATTGATGTAGAACATTGCCAAAGCTTGTATTTCTCAATACTAACCCGGGTGGTCTCTTTGACGTTGAACTGTTGATCGAAATTTATCATATCCGGTCCGCAAAGTGTCGCTCGGTTTAGAAAACCATGCTTCCTAGGTCATAGGAGGATTTTGCAAGATATCTGTTTTATAAAGTCCTTCCGGGAATGACAATTTACAATTTTTTTAAAGTTCGATTCTCGTAAATTATCACGTTTTTTCTACTGTCAAAATTTATTTCCGTTCAATCCCATCTTTATTATGCCACAATAGTTTTTTTATTTGTGGTTTCTGTTTTATAGGGGTGGGCTGGTACTAAATCGACATTCATTGATTTGGACGATTCCATTTTCTGTGTACGGTCGTTCGGATGCTTTATTACTTTATCGATTATCGTCGCCTTTCATCCCTTCGCGCCGATAAAATTTGTCTGCGTTGATCTGCCGTTCACGTACATACATCCGAGTTATTATATGTTGTTTTGCTCTTAACTGTAGGGCCTAGGAAATATGTTTTGTACATTAATTAATTACACAATATGTATTTTTTCGATGGTTATAAAAAAAAGACTATCATTTCGGATAGCCAGGCCATGATAGTCTTTGTGAGCCATTAAACTCAAACACCATCAGCTTGAGAATGGTGCAGAATTGCAAATCCAAACTGAACTGGCAAGAATCACAATCTACTATGTTCTCAGGACACACAGCAGTAAAGAGGAATTTATAAGCGGATGCTCTTGCACTGAAAGGACTGCTACACAGCTGTCAATCGAGCATCTTAGGAAAGAAGGCATGGTGTAAATGAGTAAACGATGGTATTCAATTGTCATATACTGGACACAAACAATCCAAAAACCCTCCTGGCGATATTTGGAAAGATAGAAAAAACAAAGGAAGAAGGAAGAGACGCCGAATCCTAACGGGATTCTGAATTGGGTACTGGGAGGAGACAGAAGATGTAGATGTAATGTAGACGTAATTTTCAGTGTATAGTATACTGCGCACTTTAAGAACTATTGTATCCTCCGTACTCTTTCTAAAGCACATCGGTGAATCCTATTTCATAAAGAAACTTGATTAATAGGCCCGGTTTCAGTGGTTGAAGCTCTTCTATGGTCACATTATACATCCCAAAACATTTCCTCCTGCGGGCTAGTGTGACTCTGCAGTTTGTTAGTAGATGTGTTTGGGTCTCTTCTGCCTCTTTGCTGAATCTGCATGTGCCATCTTGGATTATGCCAATCTTCTTTAAGTCCTGTTAGGAATGCTATTAGGATTCTCAGTTTGTTCCCACTTCCCTTGACACATTCTGTAATTTCTTTTCTTCCAAAATTGGTTAGAAGATTCTTGGATTGTCTGTGTCCAATGAGTGAATTCCGTAGTTCCTTCATTTCCTTTTTGTCCTTTTTGTATGGTTTTGCAGTTAAGCACCATCCTTGACCTAATGATACTTGAGCTTAGTGCTTTGATGGCTGCTTGGCTATCTGACACGATAGCTATATTCTTGTCTTTGTACCCTTTACTCAGGTTGAATTGGGTACATCTTTCGATTGCATGAATCTCAGCTTGGAAGATACTGGTGTATTTTCCCAAGGGTTCTGAGTATTTGGTTCCAGATCCAAATATTCCTGTCCTTATACCTGCTTGTGTTCTAGATTCATCTGTGTACCAAAGGATGGTGCCATTCTTAAAGGAGGTGTTTCCCTCTCGTTCCCATTCTTTTTTGGTACCGAGACAGATACCTCAGCACGCCTAATACCATACTGTGGTAAAGCTAAAATAATGCTTTGATAAAACTACTAAAACGGGGCCTAATAATCAAAGTCTTTGATGTCAGTGTGATGAAGGTAAAACGGGGGATAAATATTTCTCAAAGGGCGCAATATGCCAAATTACCTTGAATTTGAATGAAACGACCAAAGATATAATCTTCTTTGGCTTGACTTTATTGTGATTCTTGTTTCTAGGTGCTGATGATAATGGAATACTAGAAAGACGGTGGTTTTGTCCTCCCCAAGTACTACCGTCTTCTGGCTTATTGTACTTTTCCTAATTATTAGTTCAATAATTCCTTCTCTTAAGAAGTAATATATCATTGTTGGTGTAGTTCATTTCCCTGGGTCTTCCTGATGTCCGAGCGGTTGCTTTTTATTCAAAGAGTATATGGTTTGCAGTTTCTTCCTCCTCATTGCATAACCTACAAATGAAGTCATCTTTAAGTGTACCTATGTAGAGGTGTTTTTTCAGATGCCACTAACCGGTTTATAGGTAGAGTCCTCGAGTTTTACACTGTATATAGCAATAGGTCGTATTAGTATAAGTTTTGACCCTAGATACATCCAGATACTCTTCTGGCCAGTTTATGTGCCTAGTCATTCACCCAGAACTCCTTTGTGTTTTGGTACCCGTCTGGTATTATATGGATATCGTCAGGTTTTATCCAGGTTTTGGATGTATTCATTGAACTATTTTAAATGGGATCTTTTTACGTTCCACTGCTTTTATGGTTACTTGGTTGTCAGATCTATGAGGATTTTTGTCAGCGTAACCTCTTTTTAAATTTTCTAAAGCACCGCATTGCTCATGCATTTGAGCGTGAAATGACGAGATTTACTTCCCTAATGAGTATTTTGGGTTTGTACAGAATATTCATGGTTCCTACATTTATTTTGGAGTCTTATGTATACAATGATTTTCTCCTGATTTCATCTCATTTTTAGTCTGTTGGGACTATTCACGAACAGTTGATGGGGTTATATTTTCATTGCTGTGTAGCATAGATTTGCCAATGTTTATATGACGACTAATTTGTGGGTAGCTTGTTTTTGTTGAGTTGAACTTTGGTCTTCGAGATTAAGCCATAGTTCCAGGTGATAGTAAAACTAATGACTTTCAATTTGTTTTTAACGTTAAGTTACTTAGCTAATATTCATGTGTTATATAGGACAAGGACAGCAAGCAATATCAAATTATTGTTTTAACAAAAAGTTTCTGTTATCTTGACAGCATCAAGACAATGTTTGTAATTAATAATTATTAAAAATGAACTCTTGTTCCAGAATTTTGCGAGGTGCCTTCGTACGAGAACTCTATTTTCAAACATTCCAATCAAACCAGCGTGCCATCTTTCGATACATTGAACTTTGGTAAGCCCGATGGATTTCTGGACGATTCGTACTCAATTTTAATATTTGATTCTTGTTCCAGGTGATAGTAATGACCTTCCATTCGATTTTAACGTTAACGAGTTACTTAGTAAGCTAATATCGAGCGAGCCCAGCCTGGCGGACGAAAATATTTTGTTAAATTGCGAAAAAGAACTGGAAAAACTGTCCGCCAACGCTATCCCCGACGACGGACACCATCCAAACGGAGGTGAGTGTTTTGGAATTCGCAGGATCGCGACAAAATCCAACTGGTGACAGCGATAAGTGGAAATTTAGCAAACATTCCTCCAGGACGGATCGAATAAACATGTCAACCGGCCACTTTCAACGGCAGTAAACCGTTTAAAAGTAAACCGAGCAAGAGACTAAAATAACCGAGAAACCGTTGGAAAGCCGTTGACATGCAAAGTTAACAAGTTATTGCGATTTAGTAAAGTAAACTGTCGATAATTTTAACGTGACCCTTTTAAAATCTATTTTAACATTTTTACCAAGTTAGCAACGACACAATTAATTTAAATAAGTTTCATATAGTGGAAAAGTTCAAACAACTAAAAAGTTGGATAGGTTCACAACCAAACACCCTTTGGTCCTCCCATTGTCCCATTTTGTATCAAATTGTGATATTTCCCAAAAATCTTTTAAGCAGTAGTCTCTGGATCAGGTGACATCACTCTACCATCCATCAATGCCACAGGGGAAAATACATCATTGCATCCTGCCTTGAGTGGAAGGAATGCTGTCTGTGCTTTCTTAGATGTAAGGAAAGCCTTCGATCGAGTGTTCCACCTGGTTTGCTCTGGAAACTCAAGGGCCTCTTCCTATTTACTCATTAACCCGACCTAAAAATCCATAGGTTTTGATCTTATCACCACAAACATCCTCCAAAAAGCCATTATTTTCCTTATTGTGAGATACAACTAGGTCCTTAAAACTACCTACTTCCCAATCGAATAGAAATCGCCAATCATAAAGGCCATTTCCTAACCTCAAAAACCTTAACGTCTCACTATTTCATATCGTCATATCAGTTTGCTATCATTACTGGGCAAAGTTCATGTTTAACACCTACTGAAACATCTTTATTCTATCTTTAAAAGCTCCAATTTCAATCTATTGCATCAATTCGAGTGCAGGCGACATCTCGCTTCCATTCATCAGTGTCAAAGGGCAGTAGAATCATTGTATCCTGCCCTAAGTGGAAGGAATGCTGCTTGTGCTTTCTCAAATGGCAGAGGCAAGCTATTGTTTAAAGTGGCTCCAGGATTTCTCTGGAAACTCAAGAGCTTCCTTCCATTTATTGATTACCTCATCCTAAAAATCTCCAGGTTTTGACCTTATCGCCACAAACATCTTCTAAAATCTTCCCAAAAATCTATTATTTTCCTTACCATCAGATACAACTTAATCGTTAAAATTACCTACTTCCCAATCCAAAGGAAATCTCCAACCATAAAGCATATTTCCTAACCTCAAAACCATATGTCATATCGCCCTATCAGTTTGTAGCCCTTACTTGGCAAAATTGTTGATAACCACCTCCTGAAACACCTTTATCTTATCGTTGAAACTCTGATTCCGTTTATTCTCATTGATTCAGGTTCAGCTGGCATCATTGTCCCATTCATTAGTGCCACCTGTGGGTAGACATTCACCCCGCCTTAAGTGGAAGGAATGCTGCTTGCGCTTTTTTAGGTGTTAGGCAATAACTTTTGGTTCCAGGGTTTTCTCTCTAATCTCAAAGAAATCCTTCTATTTACTTATTACCTCATCTTCAAAATCCTCAGGCTGTGAGCGTTTCATTACCAACATCCTTCGAAATTTCCCAAAAATCTATTATTTTCCTTATCACCAGGTACAAAATCCGATGGAAATTGGCAATCATAATTTCCTTTCCCTAGCCTCAAAAAACCTCAACATCCCACTATGTCACATGGCCCTTTTATATTGCTGTTACTTGGCAAAATTGGTGTTAACCTTATATATATTTATTCAATGACCATTCTTGAGAATAAAGTTCACGTCGGTCAGCCAAGAGATTCAAACTATCCAGACACATTGAACATGGTGAAATGTGAAATGCGTCTTACAGACCAACCCAGCAAGAATAGGCAGACCAAGATAATCAGAAAAGAACAAATTACAGTTTCATTATCCTGCAGACTTTCAAGAAAATATTTATTAGGACACAATTTGACAGTGGTATTTTATGTTTTTCAGATATTTCTGATTTTGCGGCATTAGAAAAACTAATTTTGCAACAATTAGATGAGTTAGAGCAGTCAGCTAATAGTGGTATTTTAAAGTTTATTTGTTTTTTCATTAATTAAAACTCCAATAAACATATTTTTTGTTTACAGTGTCAAATATTCCTTACTGGGAACCAGGTAATTTGATTATAGTAGATAAGATTAAAGCATGATCGTTTGATCTTTCTTTGACTTGCAGAAAATTTTGATGAGTCTTACCTCGAGTTCCCCGAGGTCGATGAAGTTCCTGCAGTTACCGAACCCACAACAGGTATGAATGGATTTTCCGAAAATTGAACAAATTTCTTAAAATAAATTTTCGCAGAAGTTCCTGAGGCAAATTTAGCCGCTGATCTGGCGACGTTGACACCCATGGACATCCAGCTGGTGGACGTCGACCAGAGCAACAACATGGTCTTTTTTGCTGTTGAGCTATGAGCAGTTTTTTTCTCACTATCACGGATAAGGGAAGTAAAAACCTAACAAACAGAGATTTATTATTTGCTACAGGATTTATTATTGTTCATTTATTGTTAATGGTATTTCTCATTATTAAGGACTATTTTTCTCTCTTAAAATCTAAAGTTTTGAAAGGTCAATGGAATTTATTTAAATTCTCAAAGAATTTTTTTGTTTAAATAGTGTTTGAAGGTCTAGTACTTCCCATAATGCTACTGTTGCCACAGTTTTTCTTCTATAATCCTTAGTGCTGAGTAAAACACTCGGAACAGAATGAAACTAGTCTGAAAATAATTGTGACAGGTGTTGCAATCCCTTGAAGGTTGAGTATATTCATAAGGATTTTGTTTTAATTTATAGAATAAATGGCGCCTAAATGATGTCAAAAAAAGTCTGAACCGCAGAACAGGATAAAAGGGATGCCTAACAATACTAAATTTTTTTTGTGATTTTAATTATCTGTAAATACAACATACTAGCATGTAAAAATTGCGTTTTATAGAAACTTTTATATGTTCAATGTCATGAATCAAGCATTTAATATGAAATCCTTCCCAATCAATATATTGCATGTTATATTTTTCATAAATTTAAAATGTAGAAGTAAAATCCGATATAATCAAAATCCATTGTTTGAAGTAGATCAAGGTTGATAAAGTTTGAGTACTGTGTTTCCAAATTTATTTTGCTTTTACATTTAATTTTTTTATTTCCATCTATCTAAAGTCTTTTATGTAGTTTTAAGGAGTATTTTATTTCTATTCTCTGATGATGTTTTGAATTTATTTTCCAGTTTTTACCATTATTTTAAATCTATTTTTGTAGGTGCTATCAAGGATTTAATGAAGACAAAGAAACTATATAATTATTTTTTTAAAATATTATTAGATTTGGAGTAGTTTCCATTTACTTTTTGGAAAATTCTTAAAGAGAAAGTTTATATTTTGGCGTTAAATTTACAGCTGTTATTTTGTACAAAGTAATTTTTAAATTTTAAAATTATACGGTGCAAAAATTGAAGCAGAACAGAAGTCACACCATATAAAATAACCTGTGATTGACATTGATATACTATGTATTTATAATATAATTAGTATTTTATATATTATGTATAATATCAGAAGAATTGAAACCAGAAAGGTTATTACTACATTGACTATGAGATCAATTACAAATTCACATTACAAAACTCACCAAAATGTATCACATTCATCATAACCACAAGGAGAAGAAAGAAGAAAAAAGGAAGAAAGAAAAAAAAAGGAAGAAAGAAGAAAGAAGCAAACATAAAGAAGAAGTAATATAGAAGAAAGAAACAGACATAAAACAAGAAAAAAGAAAGAATAGATGTTGTGTATGTTTTTGTCATTTCATATCTAACTTTGTGATTTAGAATATTTACAAAAGTGTTTTAGTCTTTTTAATGTTAACTCTGTGGGTGCTAGTAGATTAGGAACATGTAAATTTACATTTTTTGCCTTGAGTCTAATCCAGGCAACCCTTGCAATAAAAAGGGCTTTCAACAAAGCTGCGAATTTTTTTAATTATCAAGTCAAGATTAGAAGAGGAAGTAATTAATTAATGCTATCATTAAAAAAAATTATACCAGTTAAATGTACCAAAAAAGAGTGTTTAATTTTTAAAACCAGAATACACACAAATGTCATAAATTTTGCATGAACAGTTTTAAAATGCTACACAAAAGTTTCAGATGTGCATGGTTTAAGCCGAATTGAAACAATTGTGACAGGACGAAGGGCTCAGTTATTCAAGCGCAAACAGTACTTTCATGACTGTTCATCTTTTCCCAGGATTTACTAAACAAACAGGATTACAGGAAGTGAATTGTTTTGCAGGTTCATTGGTCTAATCGATAATAGTTGCTTTTTTAAAATGATGCTTAAAAAAACTTCAAATCTATAAGTGTGTTCATTTTTGTGCTCCTATTTTCGATTGGATAAAGAGAAGATAAAAGAAGAAAGTATATTAAAATAATTTAGTATTTATTATTAAAATAAATACATAATTTCAATGATTTTCTTTATAATGTCAAAACTAATAAACAGTTATTATTGGGTAAGTATAAACCCTTTAAGAAGTCATCATAGACTGTTTTAAACTTCAATACTCACATTCTAACAAACACTAACTTATGGATAAACTATGCGTTTAAATAAATATGTTTCTAAATATACAGAGTGATTTATAAAAAATTTCATTTAAAAAGAATCCTTCCTTGTAGGATGCTGCCATGCTTTGTTACAAGCAATAGAATGTGGCATGAGGTTTGCCATGGAAACTGGCATGCTTCAATTTACTATTACTTCATCCTTAAAATCCCCTGATTAACTTATCAATACAAACATCCTCCTAAATATTCCACAAGTTACAACTTAGTACTTAAAACTACATACTTCCCAATCCGATGGAAATTGTCAATCATAAAGCCCAATTCCTAACCTCAAAAACTTCAACTTCTCACTATCTCATAATTGCCCTATGAGTTTGATGCCGTTATGTCTCAAAATTCTTGATAATCACCTCCAGAAACTCCTTCAATCCATCATTGTAAGCTCCAATGTCAATCCATCCCATCCATTGGTTCCAGATGAAATCATTCTACCGTTCACCAGTGCCACAGGGCAGTAGATATCATTGCATTCTGCCCTGGGAGGAAAGAATGCTGCTTGTGCTTTCTTAGAGGTTTGTAAAACTTCAATCGAGCGTTGCACCGGGTTTCCTCTGGAAACACAAGGGCATCATTCGATTTACTTATTACCATGTTCTAAAAATCCCCAGGTTTTTCACCTTATAGCCACAAACATCCTTCATATTCTTTATAAAAAGCTATTATTTTCCTTACCATCAGGTACAACTTACTCCTTAAAATTACTTCTTCCCAATTCTATGGAAAACGTCAATCATAAAGTCCATTACTTAACCTCAAAAACCTCATCTCACTATTTTAAATCACCCTATCGGTTTGCTATCATTACTCGGCAAAATTAGTGATAAACACCTACTGAAACATCTTTATTCCATCTTTGAAAGCTCCAATGTCATTCCACCATATTAATTCGAGTGCAGGTCACATCACGCTTGTTTTCATCGGTGCCAAAGGGCAGTGACACATTGCATCCTGCCCTGAGAGGAAGAAATGATGCTTGTGCTTTTTAAGATGTTAGGCAAGGTTTTCTTTCATTGTGGCACCAGGTTTTCTCTGAAATCTTGAAGACATCCTTCTATTTACTTATTACCTCATCCATTTTGTAACCTTATCACCACATAAATCCTCCATATTCTTCCCAAAAAGCTAATATTTTCCTTACGATCTTTAGTTATTCCTTACCTTAATTTAGTTGTTAAATCAACCTTCTTCTCAATAAAATTGAAATTGGCAATCATAAAGCCCATTCCCTAACCTCAACATCTCACTATGTCATATTGCACTATCAGTTTGATGCCATTATTTCACTAAATTCTTGAAAAACACCTCCAGAAACACCTTCATTCCATCATTGAAAGTCCAATATCATTCTATCCCATCTTGGGTAAGACCTCACTCCACCATTCTTCAGTGTCGCAGGACAATAGATACATTGCATCTTGCCCTAAGAGGAGAAATGCTGCTTGTGCTTTTTAAGATGTTAGGCAAGCTTTCATTTGAATGTGGCTCTTCGTTTTCTCTGGAATCTCAAAGACATCCTTCTATTTAATTATTACTTCATCTGACAAATCTCCAAGTTTTAACCTTATCACCATATACATCCTCTTATTGTTTATATCTCAGAGTATGTTGGCAGGGCGAAAGTAATATAAAACAACTTGGTGGGAGATTGCAGTAGCCAATTGGTGAGTTTGGAAATCATTTTTTTAATCTTATTTGAAGATTATTTTCTTGGAGTATGATAATCTCTTCCAAGCCTGGACAACTTAGTGTATTTAATTCACTAATTTCGTGGTCCGACCAATTAATATATTACAATTAATTAAGGTTTTTAGTTGAGATAAAAAAGTCAATGGCACGAGCGGGATTCGAACCCACGATCTTCGGCTAGATACACCGCTGCTCTACCAGTTGAGCTATTGTGACCTCAATCCACTCAGACACCAAAAAAAGGAGGGCAAAACTCTTGAAAAATGGCAAAAAGGAGGGAAAACTCAAAAGGTGGGGTTGAGATAGGAAGTTGGTGTCCTTCTCAATTGATTAATGTATTAAGTTTTCCCTGTCAAATGTATTTTATACAGAAAAAGTCAATTAAAATCAAAATAAATGGAAACAACTAAACTAAATACTAGAGGTTCAAGTCATCCACTTTTGGTGGTTTTAATCACCATCATCAATTATTATCATTAAATTTTGAGAAAACTATCTCTCCTAAATATCTGTATTATGTTGGATTAATTTAGTGAGGGAGATAATCGAGTCTTATGATGTTTTTATTAACTTTTAGTGGTATTAAACAATGAAGGGAAATAAGACAACTTACAACTACTCCATTTCTTATAGAGCTTAGTTAATTAAGATAATGATTTTTCTAGGGCATTTTAGGACTTAGAATAAATTCTCAAAGCTTATAAATTAGTTTGTTTTCAACACAAAAAACCCAATATTTGAAAAGTAAGATCTAGGAATATTAACAGAATTTCATTGTAACAACTATGCAAACGGTAAATTAAAAAACTTGAACCAGTCCTTCCACAGTATTTCCATGGTATAAAAATAAAAAATAATTGTGAGAAGATGACTAAAGGCTAGAGCACTACAAATAACTTACAATTAATTAAGGTTTTTAGTTGAGATAAAAAAGTCAATGTCACGAGCGGGATTCGAACCCATGATCTTCGGCTAGATACACCGCTGCTCTACCACTTGAGCTATCGTGACCTCGATCCACTCGGACACCAACTTCCCATCTCAACCCACCTTTTGAATTTTCCCTCCTTGATGGGAAGTTGGTGTCCGAGTGGATCGAGGTCACGATAGCTCAAGTGGTAGAGCAGCGGTGTATCTAGCCGAAGATCGTGGGTTCGAATTCCGCTCGTGCCATTGACTTTTTTATCTAACGAAAAACCTTAATTAATTGTAACACTCATGAAATTAGTGAATTGAATGGAATTACAAATAATATTGTTATTTTTATAAATTTTGTAATATAACATTATAAAAGTGAAGAAGTAATCCATTAATTACACTCCTCGCAAGAAAGGAAATCATGAAATAACAGAACCACAGAAGCTTTAAACTTCTTAGAGGATTGTCAGGAAGGGTTTGAGATGAAAAATGAAAGAATGAGGGTCTAGAATTTTATTGAGCTATTTTCAACTAATTGCAGTTTTGAGGGCAATGGGATTTGAAATTCTGTGTGGATAGTGCGGCTCGATACAAAGTAGGGAGCTTCAAAGGTTCAAAGGTTTTTAGGCTGGTGTGATTTTTTGGTCGCTTTGTCTAATCCCACAGTTCCATGCATCCATTGGTTGCAGTAATCATGTACAGATGAAGTGTTTGTTTTGCAGTAAGAGTATTTAACTGTTGTTAGTTTTTTGAGTAATTTATATCATCTGTTCGGTTGTATTCTTTTGAGTCGAGTGTAGGATTCGAAGTAAATGTTTTGCCGACGTAATTTCTCTCATTTTATTCTATTCTATGCAAAACTTAAAAATATTAAGAAAAGTAATAAAAGGAGTCAACTTAGTAAAGTGACAATTGTTATTGAACTTACATTATTAAAAATTATATCACCAAGGTAAATTTATTATATTACATTTTATTTTTTACTTAAGACCTTTTAAGACTGGTGGTAAAATGCATCTTAGACAATGAAAATAAAAATATGATGAAAAATATAAGGCAGTAACATTGGGCACAAATAAACAGATGGTTTTGAGTATTCAGGGCAGAATCTGTATAGATGCTGAATGACTGTTTAGCCAAAAACTATGAGATGAAAAATTCAAATAGGTAGATCAAGTTGATTGGAATTGATTGAACAACAGCTATCGCAGACCCTATTATAACATTTTCTTGTTACCAAACTTCTGACATGAACAGTGCTTACCATAGCCAAAATTTTTACAATTGATTTATTTTAGACAAATTTGAGATTGTTTTAACTTTTTATTATATCAAACTTTCTAGTTTTGGTTACTTGGATACATTGTTCCTATATGTAAAATATTATATTTTGCTTTAAAATTTTTTTTAAAATTCTTATGCACAGCTTTCTGTTTTATCAAAATATGTCTAAATGCTTGTAGATGGACTGTTGAAAGCGCTTCTTTTTAGTTTTCGAGTCTGGTTGAGATCTACTACATACATTCATATAACAAATAAACTGAGAAATAGACGAGTGCTGGTTTAAAAACTTTCTAATAAAATTAGTGTATAAGTTCATGAAACTGCATACTATTTATAAGGAAGAACATAATACATATTATAAATTTACACTGAATATATTTGAGGATTGAATTTTTTTCCCAAGTTATCACTGAGGAGTACGAACATTATAGATGCTGAAGTTTAGCCAAAGAATAATTTATTCCCTTGATTTTATACGATAATACAAGGTGGCTATGAAGTAATAGTTATGAAAGAAATGAGTGGATATTATTTGAAATGGTCTAATGGTTACCTGGTATAGATACAGTGTCATCATTTGCCATAAATCCCACTGGCATCGGGTACAGCTCGGAGTAGTACCCTTCTGACGTGGCCATGAGAAGGAGGAGGCTCAACAATGTCTGAGACACCCACATTCTGACAAAATAGAAATTTTAATTAATTATCATAAACAATCCATAGCAAAAACACACCTAGTTGAAATCAAGAATATTCATATTAAAAAAAAAATATTTGAACCAAATAAACTTTATTTGCAATCTGAATGCAATCTGAAAATGATTCTGTTTTTATATTTGTTTTACCTATTCAAGCTTTCAATTCTAGCAAATTTTAGCTAGAATTACCAGTTGCTTCAGACAAAAATTTAACAATTTTGATTACAAGATTGTACAATTTTATTTTATTTTATGATTAAGTAAAGTATACAATCTTATGCTTTTCTGATGAAAATTAATACTTTTTAGTGCTGAAAAATAAATAAAAACAACAAGCGAATTTTTAAAATATAACAATTTTTTTTAAATGTTTATTTCTTGGATGTAATCATAATTAATAATGTTAAACTATTAACACTTAAAAATGTTAACAATTAATGTAGATTGAGATTAGGCATCGGTACAAACATTACAAAACAGTGGAATGACAACCTTATTTCATTATCAATCAATTTCTTTGCTTTATTTACCTGAAAATTATGTTAATGTATGAATAACGCATGCAGATCCTAGGTCAAAACCTATCTCTTTCATCCTTTTTCATTTCATACATTCTTTTCTATTTACATAAATACCATTCACTCGGTTAGGGTGGTGTAGGACTCAATATTACTCTATCACCCTCTATACACATTATATACCTAATTGAGGGTCGATGGGGTACTCAGTCTTCCACTATCAGCCCACAGCACACTTTACATTCACGCTAATAAATATATTCACTGTCAATGCTTGCTAAGGACACAAAACTATATATGCAATAAAACAACCTTGTCTCCTCCAAGAACCGGAACAGGCGACCCTGATACTAGCTGCTGTGTGCTAACACGGGTGTCTTTCCAACACGCTCTCTATATGGACACAAGGAGGTGCACCCTTCAATTAGGTGAAACACATTGAACAACCTTTTTCTACATGCCAGATAAATATGTGGGCTTTGGCCCAAAATAAATGTCAGTGTGTCAATCTCGCATGGCCTATCCTTAATCGGGTGAGGATGTCCCTTCTTCTAAAAGCCAGATCAGCCAGATATCGACAGTGCTCTTGATACATGAAAGCTTGTCTGCCGATCCAGCCTACCGACACTGTCAGTTTCTTTTATTCATGCTTTATAATTAATTTTAGCGTCAGAGGATCGCTGTGGTCAAGTCCTCCGTGTTGCCTGATCTGCCTCGTCCTCCTTTTTTCACAATTTTTAGTTTGTCAGTTTTCTTTTTTATTTGCTCTTTATTTTATACCTTGATTTTCTTCAAGACTAATTTTTTCATGGACGAAAATTATTCTCCTAATTCACTAGTTACTTTTCAAAACATTAAATATTGATAATTGTAAATCAAACTATAAAAAAAGTATATGTTCTGTATATTATTTATTAAAAAAAAATTGTCCTCTCTAATTTGAATAAATCTTGTCATTCTTTCATTCCCCAACTCTCCCAAAGTGTCCACGGTTAGGCTCAAATTTGTTAAGTATTTGTCAATTTTCGGCTTATCTGTAACTTACGCCTTAGGGAAATCTTTTAAAATATTGACCATACGAAAAACAAACTCACGATAACCGAGCCGTTAATCTACCCTCTTAAAGTGACAATGTCGATCCATAAATAACGCCAATCCACCCCTCGTTTATTGGCCTGGCCATTAGCGAAATCTGAAAATAAATTTATACCCCATTTTGTGTTACTTGCGGCAAAATCAACATTAAAAGTTATTACAAGTTTTTTTTAAGGAACTCCCCGTTGCGAGGAAAAGTAGCTAACAGGGCGAGAGAAATTGACGGATACGTTAAAACATTAACGTGTATTAAAAAAAAAATCAGTGTTTCTCTATTTCTAAAATTAACACACTAGTTTAAACGAAAGAACCATATTTTAATCTGTAATGTAATGAGAAATTATTATTCTACACAATAAATCTCTACAACATTCAGTTCTTTTCTTAAGGTTCAACATGTCACCATCTTCAGCGTTGTTAACGACCAGTTTTAAATATAGAAATGGATACATGGGGGATGTCGACAAAAAAACAGACACTCTACAAAACAAAGTGGTAGAGTAGCGGCGTATCTAGCCGAAGGTCGTGGGTTCGAATACCGCTCGTGACACTGACTTTTTTATCTCCACTAAAAACCTTAATTAATTGGTGAAGCGGACCACGAAAACTAGCGACTCTATAAAACATTACTGAAACCGATTTGGACATACGGACTAGAACCGTGGGGCACCGCTAGACTTACTAATGCCAACGAATTCAGTCCTTCCAATGCAAAGTCCTCAGATCATAGACAACGTCCCCTACTTTGTCTCCAATACCACCCTCCACAATGACCTCAAAATTCCCTTTGTTAATAAATTAATCCATACCAAATTTGCCAAATTCCATGAAAAACTAACCTCACATCCTAACACATTCGTTCGATCCATGTCCAACATTGTCCATCCCTACAACCCAGTAATGCGCTTGAAACCCGAAGTGGAGATGGCCCCGGGACCTCCTTATTTACAATTCATAAATAACTATTCATAAAGATGGGAGAGCAAGAATGGTGGCTGGATGTTCGTAAATGATAATATTCTATCACATTACATAATACAATTAATTAAAGTTTTCAGTTGAGATAAAAAAGTCAATAGCACGAGCGGGATTTGAACCCACGATCTTCGGCTTGATACGCCGCTGCTCTACCACTTGAGCTATCGTGCCCTCGATCCACCCGGACAGCAACTTCCCACCTCAACCACACCTTTTTGAATTTTCCCTCCTTTTTGCCATTTTTCAAATGTCGTGTAATCAATTTGATCTTCGGCGACAAATGAAATGGCCACAGAAAGCTTTAGTGAAGTGATACTTCATTTTAAACTTATTCAATTCACTAGTTTTGTGGTCCGCTTGACCAATTAATATATTATAATTAATTAAGGTTTTCAGTTGAGATAAAAAAGTCAATGGCACCAGCGGGATTCGAACCCACGATCTTCGGCTTGATACGCCGCTGCTCTACCACTTGAGCTATCGTGATCTCGATCCACTCGGACACCAACTTCCCACCTCAACCACACCTTTTTGAATTTTCCCACCTTTTTGCCATTTTTCAAATATCTTGTAATCATTCGCCGAGAATCAAATTGATTACACGACATTGAAAAAGACAGTGAATCGAATAACATTACATAATGTTTATATTCGTAAAGATGGTTAAAAATAATTTAAAAAAGTACAGATGTTCCATTCTATTTCGAAATGGAATATTGCAATTGTGAAGATATTTAAAAGAACGACGATTAAGAGAATTCTGTCGATCGAAATCAAGGGTTGGAAGTACTCGACGACTTCAGAAGAGATGTTAAATTTTTCCAAAGATCAAACTGATATAAACTTTTTGGAAAGTTTTGGAAAGGGTTGAAGTCGGTCTAGGGATTTTCGGAGTGCTCTTGAAAAGAACCGATCGTGATTAGTGTCGGGGCCTCACACTTGAGGCAAAAGATAAAACTTTGAAAGACCCAGAAAGATAGTGATTTTTTTACAAAAATTCCTCGTACAATTCACTGTTTCGAAGTTAAATAAATGTACTTTTATATATTTTAGTTGATACTGAAAATAATGATCAAATTTACATCAGTACTCCACCGAAATTCGAATTGATATTTAATAATAATAATAATATTAATTATAATAATAATTCTGTATTGAACATAAGCAAAAAATGACAACTAACAACTCCACAATAAACTAAGATAATAATTATAGCCGAGGCAATAAATTGAAAGAAAAGAGAAATAACACCTGTTAAAATGAGAAAGAAAGAACAGAAAAACAGGTTATACAATACAAATCAAAAATTAAACTCCTTAATTAACTCATATCTGTAGTTCCATACATGCCTAACGAACTAAGGGCCGCGAATTTGAGCTACTCAATAACCGTAACAGGTCAACTCTGGGGAGAGTGAAACCATCCGAGGTGCAATAACCGAATCTCGCCCAGGGATGAGCCGTCCGCCAAGAAGTAGGATACAGTTTCAAAAGAGCGCGAATTACACAAAGAACAGATTCCCAATTCCCCTGTGATCCAAACAGCCGAGTTTAAGTGCAAAACCTCACATCTTAGCTTAAATAGCTATCGCAACTCATTGAGACAAAGACCGTCAAAATTGTCTTCATGAAGGAGAAATTTGTACTTCCTTGTAAAGTGAGAGATGCTTAGCTGCTTGGACGCGTGACCGGCATTCTTCATGATGTTGTTTTTTAATTCCACTAGTTTTCGTGGTCCGCTTGACCAATTAATATCTTTCAATTAATTAAGGTTTTTAGTTGAGATAAAAATGGCAAAAAGGAGGGACTCAAACAGCTTTCATGTCCCATCATTCCTCGAAATCCAACACGTCGTTTGAAGCGGTTGTGGCCGAGAGATCTCTTGAGAGATGTAAGGTCAATGTAAGGGAGTGCTGGGTGACTTCTATGAACTGTAACATGCTAGATAGTCATTGTATCTTATCTCATTTGTTTGTTGCGAAAAAAAATCTGCGAGCAAAAATCGCAGTTGCAAAAATCATACTAAATAAATATTAAAAAAATAATTAAAATACGAGTAACTGAAGCTAGGATAAGCATACAAATGCTGGATAGACTTCTTTTTTAATGAAAAACTATTGAAGGTTTTTAATATAGTAAAATAGGTAAAAGTAAACACTAACCGAATAAAAAGTGATGTGCTTATTTGTTCATTAGTCCCGAATGTATCAAATTTGGTTTCAAAGTCGGTTTCAAAATTTTTGAGATGTCTTTTGCTATATGCAATTCTAGTTCAANAGATTTCTTTTTAATGGTTTTTAATATAGTAAAATAGGTAAAAGTAAACACTAACCGAATAAAAAGTGATGTGCTTATTTGTTCATTAGTCCTGAATGTATCAAAGTTGGTTT